GTTTTTGAACCAACTGACATGCCTGATTTCCCAACCAGCTATATTTTCGATGATAAAGGTGCGATCTACTATTTAGTAATTTCTTGCACCTATATACTCCCTTAATGAATCTTACCAATTTTTAAATTTCTGTCTATTGAATTAGTGACAAGCTTGTCATTTATTGGGGGTATTAAACACCAAACCAAAAACTTCACCCACTGATCTGGCCAGTAAGTCAGTTATTTGTCAGCTTTCTTTAACAGACCAATTTGTGAAGCAAAAGTGGCAGTTAGAAGGATGTCTTTTCTTTTTTTAAGCTTTTTTTTTCTTTTTTTCACCTGGTGACCCAGCCAGTAAGTCAGTTATTTGTCAGCTTTCTTTAACAGACCAATTTGTCCAGCAAACGTGGCAGTTAGAAGGATGAGACAAACTATTTAACACTGACAGGGGTGCTTACATTGATTAGTTTTTATTCATTTATGTGAAACATTTATCCCAAAAAGAAAAGAAACTGTTGCAGTAACTGCTTATAATGCTAGCTTTAAAGTGATATTAACCACTTGCCTACTGAGCACTTATATCCCCTTCATGCCCAGGCCAATATTCAGCTTTCAGCACTGTCGCACTATGAATGACAATTGCGCGGTCATGCAACAATGTACCCATATGAAATTTTTAGCATTTTTTTTCACACAAACAGAGCTTTCTTTTGGTGATATTTACTCACTGCTGGGAGTTTTATTTTTTGCACTATAAACAAAAAAAATGCAAAAAACGTGAAAAAAAAAAGTTTTTCTTTGTTTCTATTATAAACGTTTGCAAACAGGTAATTTTTTTCCTTCACTGCTTCACTGATGTGCATTGATGAGGCTGAACTGATAGGCAGCACTGATAGGTGGCACTGATGAGCTGGCACTGACTGAGGGTACTGACAGGCGGCACTGCTGGGGACTGATGGGTGGCACTGCTGGGCAGCACTGATGGGTGGCACTGCTGGGTACAGGTGGATGGCACTACTAGGCACAGGTGGTCGGCACTGCTGGGCACTTGTGGGCAGCACTGCTGAGCACAGGTTGGCGCACCTGATCATCAGTGCCCTGATGTTCGGTGCCAATCCGTCCTCTGACAATTGCAGTACTTTCCTCATGCTGTGACAACATGAGGAAAGTGCAGCCAATAACCGGCAACTGCATTTACCCACTGATCTGCTGTGTATTTGGACACAGCTGATCACATGGTAAAAGGCCGCTGTGATTGGCCTTTTACGACATCACGTGATCAGCTGTGTTCGTAGGACACGGCGATCATGGAGATTGCCGGGTGCGTGCGGGAGGGCACGTTCTGGGAGGACATCATATGACGCCCTCCCAGAACTGGACAAACACGCTGTAGCCGTCATTCGGCTATAGCGTGGTCGGCAAGTGGTTAAAGGCAATTAAAAAAAAAATTCTTACTTACCTGTTCTGTCCAGTGGTTTTGCACAGCACAGCCCCAATGCTCCTCTTCTTGGGGTCCCTTCCAGCGCTCCTGGCCCCCTCCCTCCTGCCAAGTGCCTCCAGAGCAAGCAGCATGCTATGGGGGCACCCAAGCAGACTTGCTCCCAAGCCACTGCTCTGCATGTCCATTCACACACAGATCCGTGGCTCTGCCCTGCCCCCTCTCTCTCACCACTGGCTCACTGGCTGTGACTGACAGCACAGAAGAGTCCCCGGAGAGCTGGAGCTCGTGCACACTGATGGATCGCGATGGGGCTCAGGTAAGTATTAGGGAGTCTGGGGGAGCTGCTGCACTAAGTGGGCTTTTTTACCTTCATGCATAGAATGCATAGACTCACCAAATGCTGATTTTATGACTTCAAGCTGGCTCACAATCAGCGCTCCACTGATCGCGCATGAGACCAGGGAGTGGGGGCCAAAGTTCAGTGGAAGTGAAAGTGGGTACCTGCTAGAAACAGGTACTCACACCAAGAAAAAAATGTTTACATTAATGGCAGAGGAGGGAGGGAAGAGGAAGATGAATGGAATTTCCGATTTTAGGTGAAGTTCTGCTGTAATACATCACTTAATGCATTTTTAAATGCAAGCAGTGTAAGCAGCTAATGCTGACCTGGCTTCGGACTCTTGCAGCCCCTGTACAGCAGGGCTGGACTTGAGAAGAATTAGCAGCTGAAGGAGCCAATCACTGTGCTGCTTCTCTTCTCATTGTCCAGTAACAGGCTGGGATCAATCCACCATGACCAGGACTTAGATGAAGTGGGCTGAATGATCCCTGATAGTCAAACAAAGGCAAACGGCAGAAAAAAAAAAGGACTACAGGAATTTCTGAACTGAAGCCTGCTATCAAGCTGGACCTGCATTTAAAGTATTTTCACAGATATTGACTTGGAAAAGGTATGCACATCAGGAGTTCTGTCTAGGTGAGTGACTCAGCAGGAAGCATGTTGGACCTCTGCAGAGAGACCACTGCTTCCACACAGTTTTGTTCAATTTTTTATTCCTTCTGTGTTTAGCACTACTTTTTATACATGTTTGCACCTCGTTCACTAAAATACCTGCAGAGTTTTGAGAAAAACTAATTCATAACAATTTATAAAGATGAATAGCTTAAAGCAGAACTCCAGGCAAAAACTTCTTTACACGTTGCTGATTTCCTACTTTCACTGAATATGTCATCCTTCTGGTTCACTCAGTAACTACTGAAAATAGCATATTCATTTTCATATCAAAATGTTAATTTGCTTTGGTTTCCTGTTTGCAAGACCGATGGCTGTTTTGCCTTCTTTTCCCCCAGCCACTGGTCTTGGCATATCCCTTCTGCAGTACTTTCTCCAGGAAGCTGTTCAGCCCACTTGCCGTGGTGTGAGGACCGAGAATCTCAGACACATTCACATGTACAGGCATAGTGTACCCGCCCACATTCAAAGCAATTCCCTGTGGATGATGGGAACTGTAGTTTCCTTTTACTGCAGAGAGAGAGGAGAGGATATGATGTAATCCCTGCTGTTACACCTCCTCCTTGGCAGAGCAGATACTGTTATCTTTTGAATTACAGAGCAGAGATGAGGTTATGAAAATTCAATTAGACTTTTCTCCTAAATTATAAGTCTTTGCAAAATTTTATTAACTGTTCAATGTTTTGTGTAGAGGGGGTGGGGTGTACTAATGGGTGATTTGTTTGCCTATCATGGAGTTCCTTTTTAAGCTCTATTACTCCCAACCCTCATACCTCCCTGCTTGTTCCATACAGAACCATACAGAATTTCAGTTGGGCAGAAACAGCCACAAAAACAACAGCTATTGCTGTGCTCTCTTTACAAAACAAAGATTGCGCTGCAAAACCAGTGGCATGGGTGTAATAAATATTTTTTTTCTAAAACAAATATTTCATATTGCATGATTCCACAATGGAAACTCAAATCAGTCAGAATTTAAAATCTGCATAGGAATACAATTTTATGGCGCAAATAGCTTGATATGTTTAATTTGTTTACCTGCTCCTCTGATTCACAGATGCCAGAAATGCAGCAATTTTCATATTTAACATGGTCCCACAAAGAACTATTTTCAGAGCAACAGAATTCATATTTATTAGACTGTACAAATGGCTGACCTAGCTGAACAGATCTGTCCATTTCACTTGTACAGAACAGCTGAAATGTGTGCACAAATGTATTCATTTAAAACATGTTTGAAAGCTCCTTTCAGGATCTTTTTTTTTAATTCAAGATTTGATATACAAAAGCTTTTCTGCAAGAACAGTGAAGTAAATAGCTTGAATGGTAGAAAAAAAAAAAAAAAAAAAAACCACTAACAGATCTGTATATGGTATGTACTGAAATATAACATCTGCCCAGCAGAATATTGGGTAATAAAAAGCAAATTAAAAGGTTATGGGAAACTATGACCCATCCCCTCCCTTCACATCCAAGAATTCACCCTAGTCAATAAGTCATAGCAACACCAGTATTGGTCGTATTTAAATGGATTCTCAAAGAATGCTATTCCAAGCCTTTATCAATCAGAAGATCAGGTGAATCCATAGTATCTTCTCAGCTGTGTGACTATTGGTGACAACTCAGGGACTGGGCTTATCTTGCCAGATTTAGTCATATTAACGCATGGTATACCAAGAAAGTTGACCTTTCTGCTATACTATATGGTGGTCATTGAGTCTCTGTTTCCAACCATCACTGTAGGAGCATCTGATTTAAAGTATTCATAAATAACTAGCAAACAACCCTTTCTAATGTGGAGCACAAAAAAAAAACTTTTTGGATAATAAAAGGTAACATCAATGAGGATCCAGGCAAGCTGAGGTACCTGAGAAAATGACTTCAGGTTGTGCTTTAAAATTAAAGGATGAGTTGCTTCACAGTGCCTGTGCAGAGGTCTTGGAGGGATTACTTTAACCACTTGCCCTCCAGAGGATTTACCCCCCTTCCTGACCAGGCCATTTTTTTGCGATACGGTGCTGCGTTACTTTAACTGACAATTGCACGGTCATTAAATGCTGCACCCAAATGAAGTTTAAGTCCTTTTTTTTTCCCCACAAATGGAGCTTTCTTTTGGTGATATTTGATTGTTTTTTTATTTTTTGTGCTATATAAAACAAAAAAACAGACAATTTGGAAAAAAAAAAAAAGTATTTTTTACTTTTTTTGCTATGAAACCAGTAAAAAAATGTTTAAAATCTGCATTGTTTATTCTGTACATGTATTCTGCTACATGTCTTTGCTAAAAAATATCCCAATACGTGTAAATTAATTGGTTTATGTGAAAGTTATGGTGTCTACAAATGGCGGTATATATACTGGAATTTTTTTTTTTTTATACTAGTAATGGGGCGATCTGTAACTTATAGTGGGACTGCATTCTGACACAGGAGGGGAGCTGACTAACTGTCACTGACATTCCCAGTGACACTAATACAGTGATCAGTACTAGAAAAAACACTGACACTGTACTAATGACACTGGGCAGGAAGGGTATCACATCTGGGACAATGAAAGGGTTATCTGTGTGCTTTGTGTGTTTTACTGTGTGTGCTGTGTATGTGTTTTACTAGGGAGGCATCCTGTTTTGTATTGCTCTGTCTTTGCACTCTAAAAAATAACTCAAGCGACCTGTTAACACCACTTAATTAAATGTGTATTTCCAAGATAAAAATCCTAATTTATTGGTTTAAATAAACTTTTTCATTTAAAAACCTACTTTCATGAGTTGTGTTGAAATGATAATGTTGGAAATTACATCAACTTAATATTGTGTGTCATGTACAGTTACATTTTTGCATTCATTGTTGTACAATGAAATTTAAGTTAAGGTACCTTAATAAATTTGACTTGGTAACTTAATTTTGCTCTACATTGAGAGCTGCATTGCAAGTCTCCACCCCCATTCACTTAACACAAATCAAGTCTCAGTTGTTTCAGAAACTGTTCCTTGAACTTGATGGACTGAAAGCCAGTGCTAAAGTAATGAGTCTCAAGTACAGTATTCTCTGAAGAATGTATGTGTTCCATAGCACAGTCATACTCAGATGACATTTTTCACTTTTATTTCAGTTCACAAAATGGTTGTCGCAGGGTAATGCGGAAAGAATATAGCAAATTGTAAGAAAGCTCACAAAATATCAACTTTCAATATCCTCCAATAGCTTCACTATATTGCCACAATTTGTTGCACAATATAGCAAAGGTCTTGTAGAGAAACAGTTTCTGCACCAGACAGACAATATTAAAAAAATCTTAATGCAAAGTGCTTACTCATTCATCAGTACAACTTTAAGGATTTGATTTTGGTGTGCAAAAAATGTCAATTGTTTAACAATTGGATTGTTGGTCCTTGGTTCACACAATGAAGTGCATGTGAATCACAAAGGAACTGCAACACATTCCTGTGCAATTTCACGTGGTTCAGTGTAATGCAATTTGAGCCCATTCATTTTGAATGAGCTCAAATCACACCACATCGCACCAAAGACATGCATGCACCAATTTTTGAACCACAGTGCAACCAGATTGCATGTTTTGTTTTGTACCATGCAATCTGGTGCCGGCAAATGCACTGTGTTTGCAACACTGACATCCACTGCAGACTGCAAGGGTAGTGCGATTTGAATGCGGTGCGCGAAATGCAGACAGATTGCGGGGTTTCTGCAACACATTCTAGTGTAAGCCTAAACTGATTAATTCATTTTTGAAAGCTAGTATATAAAAAAAACAAAGCTAAAAAACTAATACAGAAAATCAATTTGGATCAACTTGATTTTTAACTGCTTTTTAACTTTAAAAAAACTTGCTCATAATTGTAGCAATTAAGTACACGTGACTTGAAGGTTTCTTATAAAAACTGGAAAAACTATTTGAATTAACTTAATATGTTTAAGTACTCAACTTAAAAACATGTGTTTATAATGCCAGTAATTAAGATGGCGGTAAATAAAAATGCATTCATTTCTATCAGAAAAGCTAATTACCTCAATGCAATGTAGTTTGTTGCTTCAACTTCATTTCACCAGACATTGTCATAACTTAAAAAGCTTGATGCAAACTGTTGCGTTAATTTTTTTTGTTGAGCCAAAACATTATTTTTTAGAGTGTGCAATACAAAGCAGCATGCTGAAGCTGACAGGGGAGAGATCTGTATTGTTTACATACAGACTTCTCCCCAGTCAGTGATACTCGGCGATCACCGGGTGCCAGCAGGGCATCTCTATCCGGGACCCCGTGATTGACAGCTGTAGCCACCAATGGTGGCACAGGTAGGACACATGCGCACCCCCTACCCGGAAATACAAAATCACGTATATATACACGTGATTTTGCACAGCCCTGCCAACCTATAGCGTGTTTGTGCTATACGGTGGCGGGGAAGCGGTTAAAGCATATTTACTACTTGTTATGAGTATATACACAGATTTAAATGTCCATAGCCTAGCCCACACAGTGTCAGCTAGTGTCAGATTGCCCGCACAACTATCACAGTCCTGCTATAATTCGCTGAACACAGCGCTTACTAGTATAAATGCATAAATAAATACAAATTCCAGTATATGTACCATAATTTATAGATGCTATAACGTTCACACAAACCAATTATATAGCTTTCTGAATAACTCAGATGTCTTTGCTAGGTTTTACACATTTCTTTAGACATGTATAGAACCTGATAAAGGGATCTGAAAGGGATTTCTTTACACATGGATAGAACCTGATGAAAGGATCTGACTTATCGCAGAAGCTTGCATCTACAAAAATGAAGTTAGCCAATAAAGGGTATCACCTAAACTTCAAACATTCTGCATCAATTGATGAGTAACACAGTACAACACTCTACTTCTTCAGCAGTAACACTTACAGGTCGTCACTCCTTTAGTCTGTGATTGGATAATAAAGGAGAAGCAGCAGACTGATGAGTGTATCTCTGTCACTTTATTCTATCCTTTTATTAGTATGTTTCTTGCATTGCAGCACAACTGATTGGCTCCTTGAGCTGCTTCTCCCTGAATCCTGAAGTAGGCATCTGTTTTAATGCAACTTATTAAAAAAGTATTTTATTTTGTCTTTTGATTGGGGAGCATGACTATATATCTAAAATGGAAATATAGCCTAAATATATGTTTTGGTACAAATGTTTCCTTTCCCCCTATTCTGCATACAGTTTATTAAACAGAGCAGTGTAAATACCTTTTCTTTAATCCACTTTGGTGTGGTATCAAAATTCCTGGAGTCATGACATCACCCAATGGCTTCCATTGCCCCTCTGTTGATAGCTCTCCCTCCTCCACCCTGCAGAAACCACTCACTGACACAGGACAGGTGCTGCTTCTGGATCACCTGACCACCTTGAAGTGGATTAAAGGAAAGGTATTCACGCTGCCCTCTTTTATAAACAGTTTTATAAACAGTAAGCATCACAGGTAGGAGGCAGGGAGAGTCAACGTTTTACTGACTGTTCTAGCTGCATGTACTATGAACTAATTAATCCTAAAAGATCACTACAAAGGCTGTATATTGCTTTCAATATTTTTCTAACAGCTTTTAAGCACCTGCTGTGAGTTTGCTTTAGTGGGCTAGAAAGATTATGCAGCAATATAAAGGGAAAGGAATTAGGATTTCAGTGCCTGTGAACTTTGAAGATGAATTTCTCTACAATGGCTATAGCTTCAGAGATGTATAAGGGTTTTGAAGGATAAGTTCACCTTTTCAACTAAAATAATAAATGCACATTTTTTGCAGGTAAAAAAATGTGCATTTATTATTTTTGTCCAAAGGAGTCTATAAAGCATTGCACCAGCGATCAGTAGATCACTGATGCCACGCAGGTCTCCTGAAGTCCTGTCAGAATATCTGCTAGCCGTATGGGATGTTTGGTCAAGCAGATATTCTGACAGGAAGCTTGAATTAACTACCACGGTGCTCCACATGATAGATCATTGAAAACTACAAGCCGACAGCTGCTAAGGCTTCCGGGACTTGTAGGCACTCCTTCGCAGAACTCTGTGAATGAATGACACTGCCTTCAAATCTGACAGATAGTACAGGGAAAGTTTCCTGTACTATCTGTCAGAGGGAGGGGGCGGTGGGCGCTGCTGCGACTATGGGAACATGTTACATGTTCCACCCTAAAAACGGGTGGAACATGTAACATGTTCCAAAGATGAACTTATCTTTTAAAGTGCTTTACTGCTTGCTTTATCAGAATATACAAATTATATTGTATTTGTAGTCTGGGCACAGATTAATTTTTTAGCACTGTTCCCCTAACCTTAACTGCACATCATTTCTTAAAACTACAGAAAAAGTGGCGTAACAATGGTAAAATGCTTTAATACATGGTTATGCTCTCTCCAGTTGGTAGACAAAATAAAACTTCATTCGTAAGTTGTATTAAAACAGATATCCGATTCAGGAAAACATCCCGTATTTCACATGTAACAAAGCCTATTACAAACTCTATTGCTTCAAATGTCAAAGCACTCAGGTGTCAATGCGCTGAACTTGGAATACAAATTGGCAGCTCGGCTGATTAGCTAAAACAGAGAAGACAGAACTGCCTCATTCTATATGCCCAGTATTACATCTAACTGCATTTATTTTGATTTTTCTGTAAAGCAGAGTTTGCATTGTGTGGTTACATAAATATGTAAAGCAATGTATATGAAAAGAGAGCTTTTCAGCTGTATTCTACTTTCTAAACTATAAATAAATTAAACTTGGTAGAGGTGTTAACACAAACTATTGAAGGCATATATAAGTATTTCTGTGTCATTGCAGTCAATGTGTTTAAAAAGTAGGCACTTCACATTAAAAAAGACAGAAAATAACTAGCAGCACTACATCATTTGTCTGCTTTGGCAAACTAAAAAGGACCTCTTTAAGACAAGATATTTGGGGGGGAGAACCTTAAATTGCCTAAGTACTATTTTTTTTCTTGAAAACTTAAATCTTATCTTAATGTTTGACTACTGTTTAAAGGCTTGTAAAATTGAATGACAACCTATTTTACATAAACATGGAGTTATAACAGATGTACTTTTCCTTAAGCTGGCCATATACACTGTGCTGAACAAGAGAAATCCATAGATTTTCCCATCCATGCTAAACAGCATGGATAGAGGAATCTCCTGTTGTCGGCTACTGTTTTCTGACAGCCGGCACCAGTGACTTTCTGAATACCTGAACAGTGACTGCAGCAGATTGGATATTGTCATTGGCTCTGCTGCTGACTTTTTTATGCCCGGCTCCTTTGATTTCTCAAATCGGGTGATGTTGGCAGGGCCAAAACCACAATCTGCAGGAATAATCCTGTATTTGAGTCGTGTATGGCCAGCGTCAGACCTCTTCATGTGGGTAAAATGTTGTGACTCTCATTACTTCTTGCTTCAAATTCATACTCAGATTTAATGTATAATTGAGGACTAACACTGTATCATGACCATTCTCTCTAGGATGTAGGCAGTGAAAGTCTCTACCATGTATGAAAATGGTCCACATTTACACATCTCCCAATGTCCTTCATTTAAAGAGAGGCTTCCTCTATTAGACCCATTTTTGTCTCCTTTTATTTTTACAAATGGCCTCCCAATGCATACATCACCCAGCTATACAAAATGTCTATGGGTTTTTCCAAAATGTATGCATGTGGGGTTTGAAAATCCTTGTGTGTTTCTAGTAGGTAGAATCTTGTGCTCATTTTAATGTCTAAATGATGCCCAAAGGAGGGATGTCCTTGCTATTGGTTCAGGTTTTCTCTGCATTAATATTGGAGTCTTGGGTGTTTGCAAGCCTTCTTTTGCAGTCTCAATAATGAAAAAAAACACAGCTTGGAGAATGAGACCCCTAGTCCTGTAGAAAGTATGCAGGCCTAAAATTTCAAACAGGGGCATTTCACCATTAGCATCCCTAAAAGATGGAAGATGCTTTAGGTGGTATACACCACCTAAAGCATCTTCAGAATATATCAGAAAATGAAAAATCAATTAATCTTACTAACAATATCAATCGTATATAATAAAATGCAGCGCTAAACATTAAATGTTGTTATTAAGTGCAAAATTTACAATATAAACACATGAACAAAGTTGCCAATAAAGTGTGTAAACAGTAATAAAGTGATACATATATGTCCATCCAATAATAAAGTGGAGTGTAAAAACACTAATGAAGGAAGTGTCCGTGGTACTACAAGGCACAGCAATAACAGTGCTGAATTTCCAAAAAGTGCTCTTAATCCAGTGAGGGAATCCACCACCTCTAATGGCTATGCACTCCCCAGAAGGCTACTGGTAAAGTAGCATTTATACTGATCACATAGGTGAAAATCTCAAGGATCCATGTTTACAATCTTTAGATTCATTGTTTCTTTATACTTATGGTCTTCTTCTTAAAACTGCTATCTGTGTACCATTAGGGAAATTTTCCTTCACTTTCAGTCTCAGAGAGGCAACAGAAAATTAGAAGAACTCCCCCAAATTGAGTGAAATTTACAACAGAACAGGCATCCAATTTACCTCTAATTCCGTTGACAACTTTTTCATTTCCCCCTCACTTTACTTCTCAGTGACAATGGTCACCAATACAAATAGAGGGGGGAATCTTCCCAACAGGGACACAGATAGTAATATAAACTTGACAGAGGAGCTATCCCTTTCCCACTCTACCCCAAACTAAAAATAAAGAGGTTTTGCCTTGAGATACCCCTTAGGTGTAATTGCATCTTTGTACTCTCTGCCATCCCATTCATCCCTATGGAATATAATCCTTAGCAATTCCATTTATTTTTATAGTCCTTAGGAATGAATGGGATTGAGGAGCACATGTGCGGACCCAGCTGGAAAGATTTATGGTAAGTGAATGGGCAATCTCGACAATGATATATATCTTCCTTGATCGGGGGGGTAGGCGAATATACGAGTGGGAGGGGGTTCTCTGATATAAGTATAACTAAACTTATGTGCAATAAACTTGACTGGAGTTCAAAGACGTCATCAGTGTGTGCCCTCTTCTTTCTACTTGCATATTGTGTGGAGTGAAAAAAAGGGTTCCTGAGACTTTCTGAACCCATCCTGGATTGTAGAATTGAGGAAAAAACTGGCAGCTTTTGGAGCGGGGAGGCATGTCTATATTGATAAACTGTACCACATTTCAGTTACAATTTTGAGATTAATTTACTAAACCTGGAGAGTGCAAAATCTGGTGCAGCTGTGCAAAGAAATTGATCAGTTTACAGTTTTTTTTGTCAAAGTTTAAAGGATAAATTCACCTTTTGTAACAGGAAGTTCTGTGAATAGGAGAACTACAACTACTGTCAGCCACTGAGTTCTCAGTGAACTA